TCGTGTATCACATTTGCGTATATAGAACCCAATTAATTAGTAGTATATAATTTGTATATGATTTCCTCAAACTTTTCACCTATTGCACAAAATTTTAATATATGTTTTTCTAAATATTATAGCTCCTGAAGATTATGTAAAAAAATAGAGTGACTCAATTTTGTCTAGACAACATCATATCATTTGCAAAGTTTATAAATATAGTCGATTTGGGCTGGGCGGTTTATTCGATATTTATGAGTTAATCCATAACCCGACACAACTCAACTCGCCTACTCAATCAACCCACCAAATTCGTGTAAAAATAACAAAAAAAAGACCAGAAACTGGTCGAGTTTGTTTGATTTTGGCGGGTTCGGCCGGATTTTGTTCACCTCTAGTTATGCACTCTCAAGACCAACTTAGAAAGCTTCTATTTGAGCTTCGTTATTTAAGATTTATGTTGTTTTAAATATATATTTTTAACTTAAATAATTATGAATATAAATTTAAAATTTTCCTTTAGCTATTTGTTCCTTAAAAAAAATTAATTAAATCTATTCTAAAAAGAAAAAATATATTTTTACAAAATCCTCAAAAAATAATTTTACAAATATTTTTTTCGATTTCAAATATCTCTTTAAAAATCGATTCAGTAAAAAATGATACATATTAAGCCCTTGCGTATGGCCATTATTCAAGAAAAATCAAGAAAAATAATGTATTGAATAGTAAATTTTTGGAGAATTCATGATTAACAAATAGAAAATAATTTTGAATCTACATGCAAATTTTTTTATTTTTTTTTGTATTAATGTATGATTCAAAATAAGTATATAGAAAACAATGTTTTAAAAAAATAAAGTCAGCAGAGGGGCAAATAAAATATTAATTGTATACATCCATCAAGGAAATAATAAAAGGAGTTTCTTCCTTTTCTTTTTTATATTTTCTCGTTTGGGAACAGAAGCAGCTGCACACTCAACTCCCACCAAACATCCACATCGTACTCATCGACAATCTCAATACCCGCCGCCACCGCAACCATGCAAGCCGTCCACTCTGCCGCCCTCCGCCCCTCCCCTCTGGACCCTCTCCGTAAGCCTACATCTACCTCTCCATTGTTTACCAGTGCCAACAATGCCAAACCACCCAATCAACACACCAAAAAACACCCCTTCACCGTCTCCGCCTCTTCAGCTCCCAAGCGCGAGACTGACCCCAAAAAGCGTGTGGTCATTACGGGCATGGGCCTGGTCTCCGTTTTCGGAAACGACGTCGATGCTTACTACGACAAACTTCTCGCGGGCGAGAGCGGTATCACCGCCATAGACCGATTTGATGCATCGAAATTTCCCACCCGGTTCGGCGGACAGATTCGGGGATTCAAAGCCGAGGGTTATATTGATGGGAAGAACGATCGGAGGCTTGATGATAGTCTTAGATACTGCATTGTTGCTGGGAAAAAAGCCCTCGAAAATGCCGGTCTAGGTGGAGAAGATTTGGGGAAGGTATGCGAGTTTAGAGGCATAATTGAGCTGAATTATGAAATCATTGATTTTGTTGGATTGTTGAGCTGGTGTTATATCCCTTGTTTTGAGTTACTCTATTACTGGCTGTTCTATGCAGTCAAAAGCAGTAGCTATTTTACCATCAAAATTAAAGATTTTGATTTGTTTAATTGAATTCTGTTCATAGTTTTTAGTGTTTTTAGGTTTTATGGAATTAGTTTAACTGTTAATGTGAAATTTCATAATTTGGTGTTGAGCTTCTATCCTTGGGCAAAATCATTTTCTTTTGTTTATATTACTTTTCTCAAGATTTCATTTTTTGTTTCCTTTATTAATTAATTTAAGAGTTCATGATTTGGTGTTGAGATTCTATCCTCAAGCAAGATCATTTTATTTTGTTTATATTACTTTTCTTAAGAGTTCATTGTTTGTTTCCTTTATTGATTAATTTAATTGAATTCAGTTTGTGGCACTGATTGAAAGCCAGGATGCTGATTCCTGTAGTTTTATTGTAAATGTTTCTTTCGTTCTCGATTTGAAGACATAGACATATTCTTCTGGTCTGGTTCATTTGCCTTTCTTTTCGTCGCAGATTGATAAGGTGCGAGCTGGTGTTCTGGTTGGAACTGGAATGGGTGGTCTTACAGTGTTTTCAGATGGTGTTCAAGCTTTAATAGAGAAAGGTCACAGGAAAATCACTCCATTTTTCATACCTTATGCCATAACAAATATGGGTTCTGCTTTGCTTGCAATTGATCTTGGATTGATGGGACCTAATTACTCAATTTCAACTGCTTGTGCTACCTCCAATTATTGTTTCTATGCGGCTGCCAATCACATCCGTCGAGGCGAGGCTGATTTGATGCTAGCTGGTGGAACTGAAGCTGCCATTATTCCTATTGGATTGGGAGGTTTCGTTGCATGTAGAGCTTTGTCTCAGAGAAATGATGATCCCCAAACAGCTTCTAGGCCTTGGGACAAGGATCGAGATGGCTTTGTTATGGGTGAAGGTGCTGGAGTCTTGGTGAGTATAGTGATTTTTGTTTCTTTAATCAAATATTTAATTTCCGTTGTGCCGCATGAATGGAACACTCATGTGATATTTACTATGGGTAACAGCTTTTCTATTATTGCTGACGCTTCTCCGCCTATGTGGTAACTGAACTCTTCTTAGTCCATTCAAAAATGAATTGTGATATGGTTTATTGTAGTTCACCGGACATATGCTTCTCAAAGCATCTTAGACTAGGTACTTCTGTTTTCTCAATGCATTTGATACAATCTATGGAACTTGATATTAGACTAATACCTTCTATCTTCTCAATGCCATTTCTCCCATCTTATGTTTTAGTATTTTGAAATGTGAAATAGAAGGACTTTTCAAGTAGAAACCTATTTTGGGTGCTGACAGGTGCATTAACGCTTTTGTCTGTCCTCTTCCCTTCCCTTTTTCACCATTTAGCTGATTAAGAGATATATGGTTGGGAGTGTAATGAAACTTGCAGTTTCTAAATTTTTTTCTTTGAAATTTTTAGTTTCTAAATAGTTTCCTTTGCATTCTTACAGGTGATGGAAAGTTTGGAACATGCAATGAAACGAGATGCACCAATAATTGCTGAGTATTTGGGAGGTGCGGTGAACTGCGATGCTTATCACATGACTGATCCCCGATCTGATGGACTTGGTGTGTCTTCATGCATCCAGAGTGCCCTCAAAGATGCTGGTGTCTCACCAGAAGAGGTATTATTTCATTCCTTTCATCAGTTTATACTGTAATTTCTGCTGCCAAACTCAATTTTTAACTCGTTATGTACACATCATTTCATATTTTCCCCTAGGGCTAATAATTGATAATGCACTTCAAATTAAGTCCATATTTTAAGCTTCAAGTGGAAAAGTGAACTCTATTCCCAGCGGAAGGCTTAGGCTAATCCTTACCTATAGTCTGTTTTTCTATTCATACACCAAGTAATTCCTCAGAGAATTTGGTGATCTATATAAAAGAATTGAACTGAAGAATCGTCAAGAAAGAAAAACAAATCATAAATTCATTTGAAAAATTTTCATGAACTAAATTATTGCTGTATGTCACCATATGCAGTATGAACATCTTAAATTGACTCCGATAAATTTGTTTTTGTTTCTCTTCCAGGAATTTTTAAGGAAACCAAGTAACTAACAAGATCAGGATGTCTTTCTTTTCAGGTTAACTACATTAATGCCCACGCAACTTCCACAATAGTAGGTGACTTAGCAGAGGTGAATGCTGTTAAGAAGGTATTCAAGAACACTTCACAGATCAAAATGAATGCTACTAAGGTGAGTCTGCTTCTTGCACAGTTCAGGTCTCTCACTTAACACGCGTGTACAGACAGACAGAAGCACGTGCATCTTTAATTTTCTGCAGAATTTTCAGTTTTATACTTATACCTTAAAGCAGATAATATTTATGTGCAATTATTAATTCGAGCAGATCATAGAGTGATAGTTTTTAGGTCATTGTTTGCTTCTCACTTCTTGTTCTGTACCAGTCTATGATCGGGCACTGCCTTGGTGCTGCTGGTGGTCTGGAAGCTATTGCAACAGTGAAAGCCATAACAACAGGCTGGCTGCATCCTACAATAAATCAATTTGTAAGTTCAATTTCATTCTTGATAGCTGATATCAATTTTCTTCAACTTTTATTTCACTTCTCTTTAATTCTTCCGTTTTATGCTGTATTTGTGTTGCAAGCTCATTTGAAACTGATTATCTGTCCTTTTTATTAGCTTGATACCGATTTTTATGCATGTTTTTAGAACCCAGAGCCTTCCGTTGAGTTTGACACTGTTGCAAACCAAAAGCAGCAGCATGAAGTCGACGTTGGTAAGATGATTTTAACATGTTCCCTGCCATCTCTTATTCGATTTGGATGCTTCAACTGTAGAAGAAAATTTTAAATACCCTCGAACTACGTTCTTGAGAATGGCTTCTAATTATTTTGTGCATGCTATGAATTTCAGCCATTTCAAATTCATTCGGATTTGGTGGACACAACTCTGTGGTGGCGATTTCTGCATTCAAGCCCTGATCTGTTCGTATTGATTCTCTTTGTAGTAGCAATCTCGCTCATCCTAGCTGTATTTGGATAACCGCGGCTGCTTCATATTTATTCTGCAAGTTGCTGGATTTGTTCCTGGAGTATATTTGTTATTTTCCATGATAATTTAGTCTTAGATCTGTCATCAATTTTCCGTTGGATGGTATTTTGAACTGATTTCTGATTAGATGGGATTTATATTCAGTTTTGTTCATGGGATCCGGAGAATGTTTTGTTGAACATTGGAATAGTTCATATCTATATACAAGTAATTTTTTACACGTTTTGTGATCAAAAGGTGTTTTGGTTTTATACATAAGTTGTAAGGAGGGGTGGAGTCAGAAAATAACATTAGAATTTGCAGAAATTTTAAAAATTTCGAATGAACTCGTGCCATAAGAGACTAAGCCCCTGTTTGGCCCCCATTATTGTTGATTTTTGAGGAGTTGAAAATTTTTAGAATAGTGATTGATGGGAGATGTGTGGTTGAAAAGCTTTAGATTTGTGTGTATTATTATTTTATTTGATGAATGTATGGTTCAGATGAAGAGGGAGAAAAAATTAATGTAATGTAATTGAATGTAATGGG